GAAAATACCGGATGTGGTGGAAATCAAATTCAAAAAGAAATAATAAAGAAATATTTTGAAATGTGAAAAATAATCGGCAAGAAGTGCGCGAGATGAAATGAGTGAGACGCTTCTTGGTATCACAACAATGTGCCCTCCTTTTTCTGTGATATCGACAAGTTCTTAAATTACAACAATATTACACACAAATTAATAGACACTCATCAAGCCAGGGATTATCATCCTTATCACTACTACTATTATTATTATTATTATTATACTGTTTTTCGATGCTGTTAAGGGTGATTACTCAAATGGGGAAAAGTAAATGATGATCAGCTTTCTCTCCAAATGTGCAGATAAAGAGAAGAGTGGCTGCAATAATAATAGTAATAACAATAATATCATAATAGTCATCATCGTATGTACAGAAAATTCATTACAATCAATACAATCAAAACTGCCCAAGCTGAGCGGACATTCTGGAAACAGCACGGGTAGCATTATGGAGTGTGTCTGCGTGTTTCTGTTTGTGTGTGCATGTGGCGTCTTGCAGTTACTGTAAGAGCAGTGTGCAGTGAGTCAAACAGTGCAGTCAGAGTCATTTAGAGGCATTGCAGTGGTCACTGTGTGTGTGTGGGAGGGGGGGCTCAGAGGTCAGGTTACACCAGCTTTATTGTACGAGGTGATGTTTTGTCATTTTGTGTCACGAGCTGAAACTTTGCGAAGACTCGATTTTGAAGTAGAAACCACACCGAGCGGCTCTCAGTCTGCCTTCTTGGAGCGCTGCAGAAGTGCCAGCTTGGGTTAAGGATGAAGTGGACGCTAAATAAGTTCCTAATAAAACATAAAGTGTTCTCACAGAAACAAAAGCAAAACACCTGCAAGCTTATCATGAATACGTGACCCCGTGATGTCTGACCCCACTGTCTTTACTCTGTGTTTGGACTTGGCCGAGGAATGCGTCAGGAGAGGATGCAAAGAGCGAGAAAAGAGCTTGTGCAGACTTCTCGGGTTAGTCTAATGAACAGATGTGTCAGGATCGAGGCTTGTGTCTACAGATCTACTCGAGGCCTACATGTTGCAACAAATTGTCCCTGTTTCCATTTTGTAAAGATCTCATTCTGTGTTCGAAGACAAAAGATAGAATACAATCTTATTATTACTTTTTCTTTTTTTTTTTTTAAACAAAACAGTCTTATTCAACCAGTATTACACTATACAGACACATGACCATTTTGTGATTTAGCACTGGTGCACCACATACAAATTTGGTGGGGTTTAATCAGGTGGTTAAATTACATTAGCTGTATACATTGTGCCACTGAACATTTAGGTGGAGGCAGCCTGTTGTTGGCTGTAGGTCACATATGGCGTTGGGTGTCAGGAGTATTACGGTGACTGCATTGTGCGTCGTGTTTGTAAGCTTACATTCCTTATACTAGTCGTTCGTTGATATTAAAAGTGTTGGAGTGTGTGACTAGTGAGCTGGGTTGTGGTTTCCATGAGAACGGGTGCAGAGATACATGTGGCTCAGTAGCGACGGGCGTTGCCGTCTCTGCCCTCCTTCTTGATGATGATTCGCTGGTCATCGCTCGCGTCGTCAGGCGACTCTGCTACCTCCTCATCCTCCTCCCCCTCGCCCTCCGTGTCGGCAGAGATGCCCA